CTCCAAGTAAAATTTAAAGTTATTTCATGTTCCTGTCGATCACTAAGCACCAGCTTTTTAAAGAAAAACTTTGAGAAATATAGATTAAAGTTAATCAGCTTGGACATTATGTTCTTCAAGCCTTTTTATTTTGCTCTTTTGCTCATCGGTCACTAATTAAAATGTAACTTCGAAGCATGAACTAACATCATTTAAGGTCGGTTAATGAGGAGCGCTGGCTAGTTTTTTAACTTTGAGGTGGTGTTTAAATTATAACGTGAKCAACAACGCAAAAAAATAATTGGATCTGAGCAAAACACTGGAAGTGAGCATTAAGTGATGCAGTGTAAACGTATCGAGGAGTATAACTCATCAGCACCAGTGCACGCTGAAGGTCATGACTCAAAGACGTCAAGATATATGAAACTCTGGTTCACTGAATCAAGAAATAACACAAATGCGCTGATCCTTTAGATCAATACTTCGACATAACAGCAAAATGACTTTCTCGTTTTATTTTCTCAGTACAGGAATGTTTCCATGATGTCTTCAAAATAAATAGATTTACTTGTATGCAGATGCACTCCCAGTCCTGAACCCTACCAGACCTGCTTCATTTTCCATACGGGCTTCAGATGCATTGAAAAAGCTGCATCTTCATCAAAAATGAATTATTCCCCTCTCAAGAAAGACATATCTAGAAGCACAATGAGGAAGACCTCATTGACATGTGAAGCATGGAGGAGAGGAAAGCAGCAGCATCACGTCCTGTCAGGAAAACAATATTAATGAATGCTGCAGAGATCTGTATGTGTGCGCGCCCAGCTGACCCCGTGTCAGCCCACTCTGACCGACCCCTCTGAAAGTTGGCTGAGGACAAGAAATGAGCCAGGCGGATCAACTCCCAGCTTCCTGAGCAGCATCAGAGGCCAAGACGAGTTGTTCCAACTGTCAAACCTGTGTGAATCTTTGCAGGATGGGACACTAAACCTCAACAAAATTACTTTCTTGTTTTTGATTTTTTTTTGTTCCCAGAATAGGAATATTCATAATAATTTCTGATTTTTGCTACTTGTTTTGTTAGTTTAGGTGTGTTTTACTGAAGTAGTTGTGTTCTATGGGTGCCTTAAAAGGTTAAAAAACAAAGGAGACATGATGTACGATTTTTAAGCTTTCGATCAGATGTTCCAGTCTGTCCCTCACGAGCCCTTGCCTGGTGTGGCCGCATTGCATGCAGCTCATCTACTACTGTTGTACCATTGTGCATCAGCTTWTACCAGCCATGTATTTTCACATTTCTGAAGTGCTAACATAAATGCTGTGCTGGGAGAGCGGCGCTAACATAAACAAAAGATTGGGAGGGRGTTTCCAACAACAGCTTATAAACAGCTCATTCAGAAGGGAGCTCATAGGCAGAACTGAAAAGYTGAAATTTCATCATCTGAGATTTATTTTGTGAATTAAATCAAATGAACATTTTTGTATAGTCCACGGATGGATCCTAACTTGTTCAAGGACCACATAAAAGGTCCTTTTTAACAATTAATAGTTAAAAACATTATATATTTTGTTTAAAAAAATCTAGTTCCTCTGAATAAGAACAACCAATCTAAAATCAATGGGCCTCATGCAAGAACATGTTCGTATTCTTATCCTAAATTTCTCCCTTTTGTTCGTAGAAAGGGTTCGTACGAACATGCTARGTCAGATTCAACAAACACTTCTATCTTCTGGAAACGTGCGTAAATGAGCTGCGTAAATTCCACCTGGTCGTATCCAGCTGCACGTGCACGCGAGAGGAGATTAGCATAATTACCACCCCAAAAACACCATATAAGGCTATGTTTCCTGCCTCAGATATCAGGAAGTGTCTATTCATGAAAATGACAGCGAAAACTGAAAAAATAAAAACTTTACGAGTTCAGAGATTGAAGTCCGTCTGTCAGAGATCCAGACAAGAAAATCTCTCATGTTTAGCAGCTCAGCTGTGGGATAAAAAGAGCTGCTAAAAGTATAAACAACCGTGTTAAATCATTTTCATTTATTCAGAAGCCGCAGCGCAGCGCTGCGCACCGTCAACCCCCCCCACCCACCAGCGCGCTGCGCGGCGCAGGTGGTCTCAGTTGCGGGTCTGAACTAAGCATTTTAAAATGTTTTTAAAATAAGTCTGGCACTTTGGAGAAAATCCTGGACTTGATCATGTATCCCCTCTGGTCTGGGAACGTCTTGAGTCCCCCCAGGACGAGCTGGAAGGTGTAGCAGGGGAGAGGGGGGTCTCTCTGCTGCTGCCCCCGCACCCGATCCCTGATAGGCGGCGGAAAACGGACGAACGGACAATTTATGTTAGTCTAAATTATTACATTTAAAATTATAACTCTAATTCAAGCAGAATAGCCTATTGTCAACATAATTATGGAGTGTGATTTATTTTCAACTCAAAATATCTTCAAACTAACAAAGAATAAGGTTATTAATGAAGAAAACCCGTCTGGATAACAGCAGACTGGCTGCTCGTAAAATATACGACAGGTCTGGACCACTCGTGAATTTTATCCTTATCTGAAAAAAATCTTAGAATACGAAAACATTGGTGAATGCCACAAATTCTCCTAAATCACTCGTACGCACAATTTAAGAACAAATCTGTGCGTACGAACGGTTTTTGCATGAGGCCCAATGTTCTCAACTAAAGATGGAATTTCTCAGGAGGTTACATTCATAGATATATTTTTAATCAAATATATAGTTAATTCCATCCAAACATACATACATTATCTTCCATTTTATCAGAAGTCGAGTCATGGGGGCAGCATATTGAGCAGGAAAGTCCAGACCTCTCTTTCTCCAACCACCTCTTCCAGCTCTTCTGGGAGGACTCCAAGGCGTTCCCAGGCCAGCTGAGAGACATAGTCTCTCCAGGGTGTCCTGGGTCTTCCTTGGGGTCTCCTCCCGGTTGGACATGCCTGAAGCACCTCCCTCCAAATACTCTAGTTTTTTCTCACAGACCAATTTATTTAAACTAATTTGTCATGAAAAAGCAATTAAAGAATAGCATTGGATAATACTACAGTAAATGAGTTTGTAATTGTGCTTGTTTTTATCTTTATTTCTATTTTTTTGGTAATTATAATTACAGGTTTTGTTCACAAAAGCATACGTCAACAAGCAAATAAAACTGCTTTAACACACATAGAAGAGGTGATGACTTTACAATTGACAAAGCTCAATGTAAATGTTTTTAAAATGTATATTTTGACTTTTTTTAAATAAAATGACAGGCATCTTTTGTGAAGGGAAGTGTCACCATTACATTTAAAAATTGAATTCATTTGAACCCCAACATTTACCGTAAAATATTACTTCATCCATTGTTGTTTCTATTGCTAACAAACAATTACATTCCACTTGATTGGGTGTTTCCTTATGTAGGTAAAAGTCTGCTTAACAACCTGTTAAAATACATCAGAATGCAGGAAATGGCACCCAGCTACTTCATTTAAACTTTTCTGGGGGAGGACCCCCAGACCCCTGCCAGTGTTTCTGATGCCTCTGAAACACGTAAAAATAATGTAAGGACAATTTKTGTTACTCCATGTGTAAAGATAAAGAACACATTAGAAGTGGACTGTTGTGGAAGTGCAGATGGTTTCACTTCTTATTTCTGGTCTCTGAACGTCACYGAATCAGTCATATTATCTGAAAAATTACAAAATGAACATCTGTTGGCAAATCCTTAACTCTTGTATTATCATAGTTTTCAAACTATCATTTTTACAGCCGTATCATAAAATTTCTGTTGTGGATTTTAGTTTTGATGTGCCACCCCTAGTTTTCAGTGCCCCCCATGGCCCCCCTGAATAAAAACTCTGCAGGCGCCACTGCCTCCCGCATCTTTTGGCTCCTCCACACCTCCCGCACCAGCAGCTTCACGGCGAACGTCTGTTTTGTTTCTCTTTCAACTAAATTGGATTTTAATGAATTCTGCAATGAATAACCAAACGAGAAATTATTTTCCAATATCCTCCCGTGATATCGCCCTCTTCCTCTGTATTAGTGAAATTAATACTCGGAGCGTGCTGAAGGTGCTGCATCAGGTGACGCACAATTTGATTAAGAGTTTAGTTCTCAGCAAATCAGGTGCTCAGGCACAACCAGGCCATCTTTTTCATTCTTAAAGCAGGGGGAAATAAATAAAGAAAAGAATCCCTCAGGCACCAAGCAGAATACTAAATCACCAGAATTTGATTAGCGTACCGGGGCAGGGGCCTTTGCCACCAGAACCCCCCACCCCCACCCCCATGTGAGTTGTGTAGCTCTTTGAGGAGCACAGCGGTCCTTCATGTTGTGGAGCTGATCTAATGTTTGGAGTGTATGAGGTTCAAATAAATATAGATTTAATATTTATTCCTTTGTGACTCTGCAGTGTTCTTGTGCAGTGATATGAAAAAAGTGTGAATGCCTCTCTGTATGTATCAGATTCTATATGCAGCTAAAGTAAGACAAATGTTGGTCATTCTGAAGTGAAGTTTAAGGAGAGACCAAAGTCCTTGTAAAATTTTGTCATGTAGCAGACAGTTTTATTATTATATAATCTTTGTGTAATTAAGTTGTATTATATTACTATCTAGCCCCGCATCTGATTAAATTTTGGGAAATAGCTAATTCAAGATGGCTGCCACAAAAAATAATGCATCCATCATTTTTTACAAACACGGAACTAATTTGGTGTCATGGTAGCTGATTAATTCCTAACACCCAGTGACCCACGCGACCCTGAAAAGGAAGAAGCGTGTACAGAAAATGGATGGATGGATGGATGTTACAGATTGTGCACAATCATTGCTTAAAATGTTATTCACTGTGCACGGTAAACCCAAGTTTGGATGGATGTTAATCATAAAGCTGCAGTTTTACTTCATCTAATAACTGCTCCCATTGTACAGGCAATGTGCCAGACAGTTATATCCATGCACTCTGGCTCTGTCCGCCTGTCCAGAGGTTTTGGGTCCGGGTACCGGGGTTGGGGGTTCCGGAGCGGGGGTGACGCTGCTCTCGCTCTGGGGAGGGCCTTGGTGGTTCTGGGGGAGGTCTTCTGGTGGCTGCATGTGGGCCCTCGGGTAGTTTGTAGCGGCGGTCATGGGTCGCTGGTCCGGTTGCCTGGCCGTGCTGGGGCGGGTCCAGGGTGGGCGTGGGGGGCTTGGGGCTCTGGGGGCGTGCCGCCCCTGGGCTGTGGCTCTGGTGGGGCGGGGTCTTGGGCTCTGGCGGGCGGGTTGCCGGGCCCTGGGCCGGTGTGTGCCCTGGTGTCCGGCTCTGGGCTGGGGGCCTCTGGTGCGCTGGTGGTCTGCGGTTCTCATGGGCTGGGGGGTAGGGTAGGCTGGGGGCGTGACATGGAGCTAGTGGGGGGGTCAACCCAGCCTGGGTGTCCTTGTGTTATATGTTCTGATAGTGGCCCGAATGTTGGGGTGGGTGTAGCATGTCTTCTGGGGTGGTATTGGGTTGGTGGCCGTTGGTGGTGGCTGGGGGCCGTGCTGGGCTGGCTGGTTGGCCCCTTTGCTGTGGTGGGGCCCCCCTGGGCGCCCACTTGCTCTGTCGGCGGTTGGGTGGGCGCTCTTGGCCGGGCCGTCCTTGCTGGGGTGCGGTGGCCTCTCTGGGATGCGGGCCGGCTATGGGGCTGGGGTCGAGTTTTGGGGGTCTGGGTGGCTCTGGGGGGGGTGTTGGTCCCGGTTTCTGGTGGCCTTCGGGGCTCCATCAGTCCATGGTCTGGGGTTCCGTGGGCTTGGCGGTCTGCCTGGAGGGAGAGGTACTTGGGCTGCTCTTCCTGGGTGGGAAGAAAGGGAGGGCTTACTGGGGCCAGCGGGGGAGCTGACTTCCTGTGGGAGCGTTTTGCTCCCTCAGTTTATTCTCCCCATCCCTCGCCGCACACCTCCATCTTCTTCAATTTTAACTTCACCCATGTAGGGTTTTTMGGGGGGGGCACAGTTGTGTTATAAGAGCAACAATATTACATTTGTATTTGCCATAACCACCTGGGCCGCAAATTTTATTGTACATCTTAGACATTCACTCGTAACATTTTCATGAAATTCACATATAGGAACTTACGGTAGACACTCATGGCTATGGGTGGCCGGATGGCACCACTCTTGCCTCCTGTGCCTGTGCCCACCCCCCAAGGTTTGCATATAGACACATAAGGATTTGGGTTAGAGTAGTGGTGGAGAGGAAACTGGAACCACGCCGGCCTCTGCCTCTTCTTCTTTACTTTTTTTAATTGCTCTTTAGAACAACACGCACCAACAGTACATCTGGGGGTGGGGGGTGTGGGTGTCAGGGTCTTTATTCCCATCCCGTTCCCCGACTGCCATTTGGGGAGGGGGTCCTGAAGAAGGGCGGACCGCCGGGTGCGGTCCTGGGCTGTGGGTGGGCTCGGGGCTTGGACGGTCGCCGGGGGCGGGGCTGGCTCTCCATCCTCCCTGGTGCTGCCTGGTGCTGCTTGGTCTCCTGAGGTGTGGCTGTTGGTTCCTGTGGGTGGCCCACTGGCCGTGCTGGGTTCCGGGGGTGGACGGCTGGGGGGT